CTTTGTAATTGAAATTTCCGTACATTTTTCATAAATTAAAAATAGGTACACAATAATTTATAGAAAATAGGTACGTTGTATAATTGAAATTTATGCACATATTTTATAAATTAAAAATAGGTACATTATTTAGAAGAAAAAAATAAGTTCATTATACTAGGTAAATTGTTTTACTAGGTATACATTATTAGAGAAAAAAAAAAAGGGGAGATTCACTATTATACCCAATATAGGAGCCCAAATTATAAAAATACCCTATATGAAATGGAGTTTAGAAACACACCCAAAGCCCATTTACAACATAACAAAATGGCTTTTAACTTGTTTTAAATTACAAAACTACCATTGATTTCTCAAAACAAACCCAACCCCAAAACATATAAAAAAGCCCAAAACACTCAATAGGGTATCAAAGTAATTTAATAATCAAAATTAAATTCAATAGGGCCAATTGTCATTTTTTGGGTTTTTTTGGGGTTTGTTTATATAAATTAAATGATGTAGGGTTTATTTATAGTTTTAGTGCTAAGAATGGGTATTTGACTAAATATCTCCAAAAAAAAAGGTACATTATTTAGAGAAAAAAATAGGTTCATTATACTAGGTAAATTGTTTCACTAGGTATATTAGTAGAGAAAAAAAAAAGGTACATTATTAGAAGGAAAAAAAAAAGGTTCATTATACTAGGTACATTATTAGAGAAAAAAAAAAATGTACATTATTTTGAGAGAAAAAATAGGCTCATTTAAAAAAAAATTGTTTTCATAAAACAAACAATAAAAAGATGATCAAATTATTTTTCATAAAACAAGTAATAAAGAAAAAAAAAGGTATAATATTTGGAGAAAAAATAGGTTCATTAAAAAAAAGTTTTAAAAACAAAACAATAAATAGATTATCAAATTATTTTTCAACATAATCAGAATGTACACTATTATTCATAAAATTATAATAAAAAAGAATTCAGGTCGTATAATTCATAAAAAGAAAACAACATTAATTCCTAAATTATTATTGAATTTAAATTATTAATACTTTAAATAGATTACTAGCCATTAATTCAAAAATAGATTACTAATACTTTAATGTTGAATTTAATATTTAATTTCAAATAAGTTTCTAAATTAGTTCCTACATCCATTACAACTATTTGGAGATATTTCCAAATTCGACATGTGTCATTAGTTACACCCCCCATAACACATTAACTTATAAATAGGGGTAGTTTTGGAATCCCAATAAATCAGATTTTAAGTTATATTAGGTAACTTGCTTAGTTGGATCCGATGAAAAAATTGGGTATTTTAAATAGAAAAGTAAAGGAAAGGGTTGTAGGTGATTTAAAATAAATTTTATGGGTCTAAGCTCAATTTACTATAATAAAAAATACACCATTTTCCATTTGTTTTATCTAAATTAATAACAGTTGTTAGTTGTTTGTACTCCCTCTTCAATGCCTTCATTAAACAACCCCCAGAAACATATGTTCTCCTTATAATACTCAAACCAACTTGAAAACTAACGGGCGGACTACGTACTACGATGAGTAAGTTAGAAAAGACCCATTAATGTTAAGAGGAAGGTAGACAAATACGACATAATATATGATACCAAAAGTCTAGGAGGACATAATAAAACATTACATGAGGGGAGGATACTATGTTGCCAAAAAGAAAGACCCAATTAGCTATAGGTATGAAAAAGTACACCAAAAAGTCTGAATGTGGCCCAGGGTGGCAACTTCTTCACCACATGCATCCATCCTGACTCATTCATAGTTTTGACTTCATGGTGTACAATATGTAACCTCACGACAAGAGCAAGAGACTTGATAGCAGACTGTTGAAATGAGATATTAGGTTTAGATAGAGCCAGAGAGGAAAAACTAAACGAAAAAATATGGGTAGTTTGGGAGGCCTAGTGATCATTCTTTCAAGCTTTTTGTGTGTGTTTCTTCTTCTCTTAGCTTTCCTCAACATCTTTTACAAACTGTGGTGGGCTCCAACTCGCATACAGAAGCTGATGGCTTTGCAGGGAATCAAAGGCCCTTCCTACAGACCTATCCATGGAAACACCAAAGAAATCTTGAACATGAGAAGGGAAATTATTGGCAGGCCCATGAATTTATCCCATGACATAGTATCTGCAGTTCGACCTCATGTTCATTCATGGACCAAGATATATGGTAACAAACCCTTTCATTAACAGTGGTTTTTAAAAAGTTTTTGTGGCTGAGAATCTTCGGTCATTTTTAATTTAAATGCAATTGCAGGGATGAATTTTCTTCAATGGTATGGTTCTCAAGCTCAGTTGGTCATTATGGAACCTGAGTTGTGCAAAGAGATACTGAATAACAAAGATGGAGCTTTTGCAAAAAGGAAGCCCCAAAGCTATGTCAAGAAACTTTTAGGAGATGGTCTTGGGACAACCGACGGTGAAAAATGGGGAAAATTGCGAAAGCTGGCTAACCATGCCTTCCATGCAGAGAGCTTAAAAGTAAGTCCTTAATGTTATTGGTATATGAATTCTTGCAGAGAGTGCTGTAGTGAATGTTGTATCAATTATCTATGAATGCGAAAATACTAAAAGATCATGAATTTAAGGTAAATTTTCTAATTCCATGTTGGGGTATTGATTTACTAGAGCATGGTTCCAGATATGGTAGCTAGTGCCGAGACGATGCTAGAGGGGTGGAAAAACAATGAAGGAAAAGAGATTGAGGTGTTTGAACCATTTAGGATGTTCACTTCTGAAGTGATTTCAAGGACTGCTTTTGGCAGCAGCTACTTGGAAGGACATAACTTTTTTGAGAATTTAATGAAGTTATCCTTTTTAATATTCAAAAATGCTCTCACTGTCAGATTTCCCGGAATCAGGTCATTTTCCATTTAACGAAATTTTGACTTGGGGAATAACCACATTGAAGAAGGGATCATATTCTTATCTGTGTTTCTTCCCATCTGCTGCACAGCAGAGAACTATTCTCAACAATATTCTTCAAAGATTATGTCAGTTGCCACTTCTCATGTTTAGGCCTTCATTCAAAATTGCAGTAAGTTTTTTAAAACTAGCGATGAGATCGAATCAGAGAAGCTTGAGAAAGGAATGCGCGACTCCATAATAGAGATTGTTGAGAAAAGAGAAAAGAAGGCAATGGATGGAGAAGAAGACAGCTTTGGGAGTGATTTTCTTGGATTACTTTTAAAGGCTCATCATGATACCAATGACAGCCAGAGAATTTCGGTTGATGATTTGGTTGATGAGTGCAAGACATTTTACTTTGCCGGACAAGAAACCACTAATAGTATGCTTGCATGGACTGTGTTTCTCCTGGCACTTAATACAGATTGGCAGGAGGAAGCAAGAAAGGAGGTCCTGCAATTATTTGGTAGACAAAATCCAAATCCTGACGGCCTTTCCAAGTTAAAAACTGTAAGAAACTCAAGAACTCAACCTATTTGCTTTCGATTAATTATGTCTGCAATCCTGTTTTCTTTTTAAATATCCAATCATTTATGTTCATCACCATGCAGATGAGTATGATCATCAATGAGTCTCTAAGGTTATATCCTCCTGTTGTTTCCGTGGAGAGGAAGGTTAGAAGGGAAGTTAAACTGGGGAAGCTCATTGTTCCTGCTAATGTTGAATTGATAATCCCAATACTAGCAATCCATCATGAGCCTGAATTTTGGGGAGAAGATGTGCAACTTTTCAAACCAGAGCGATTCGCGGAGGGGGTTGCTAAAGCTACTAACAATAACATAGCTGCATTCTTACCCTTTGGAATGGGACCCCGGACATGCGTGGGCTTCAACTTTGCGATCACAGAAGCAAAGATTGCTCTGTCAATGATTCTCCAACGCTACACCTTCACTCTTTCCCCTGCTTATGTCCACTCGCCGTATGAGTATCTTACAGTTCGTCCACAACATGGAGTTCAGGTTGTGCTGCACTCTCTGTGAACTGTCAAAAGTACCACCAGAATTGCCCATAATCTTGATCTTGGTGTTTAAAGTATATAATATACTGGGCAAGATAGCTTAAATAATATACAGGGCAACCTCTGTTTGAGGCCCTGTTATGAGTTAGCACTAACTCCCCCTTTCTCTTTTTCTTTCCTTTTTTTGGCTGCTTTGCTGCTTGTAATTACGCTTTTGGTAGAACCATCATTCAAACAAGCATCAATATTCAGGTAACAAAAGAACCATCAATTATGTAACCGGAAAAAAAAAAAAGAACCATCAATTATTCAATTGTACCAACAATACTTGTGTCTACATGCAGCTTGACATTAGAGAGAGAGAGACTTTACTTTAGTGACAACATGCACGTTCTTTAGAAAGGATGTAAAGTTAAACTTCAAATTTTCTTCATCCTAAATATAATTACAATTTATAGCTATATGTTAAATTTAAGAAAGACGGGCCAACCATTATTAGCAATACCGATATTGTTCCCAACCTAACCACCTACAAAGCTCAGTAAATGTGAAGTTTTATCACACAAAACATTAGTATTATTAATAATGAAACCACTTATTATATGTTATTTTTTGCTTTGTTAAATTTCCGATGTTTCTGATGTGAGAGCACTACACATCAGAAATATCCAATTTATTCTGCTTGATCTTGAAATTACCTGACAGGGAGTCCTAAAAAACTTGAAAGATAATAAAGAAATAGCAAATTGTTGTACAAGGAAGAAAAAACAAAAAGATGTGACGAACGTTTGAATATGTCAATTCAAATTTAAAACCCTTGCATGCTTTTCATCCTTTCATCCTCTTTATTGTCATCACTCTTCTGCACCTTGAGTTCTCTTTTTTGGCCTTATTTAAATGAGCAGATCAAGCTGCTAACCGTTGACATATCAGGAGATCATGAGTAGTTTCGTAGAAACAGTCAGAAAAAGACTGAGTTTGTTTCTGGCTGGCTGTACAATTATTTTATATTACATGTACGCTTTTTTGGATATAATATATGTGATGTAATGCAGCTTAAACACTCTACCATATGTATCTGGGAAAGATATAAAATATATATATATAGGGAATGTGGCCAGCCAGCTAGCAATATTTATCTATTCTAATGGGATTAAGCAATAAGAAATTCCAAATCCATGTTATGAGCCATAATTGTAATGAAATGGGCAAATATTATAATCAACCAACCTTGCATTTGGCCAACGCCATCTGATGAGCGTCAATATAATATCATGTCAAGTTTATAATCTATAATGTATGTCAACTATGGCAACTATTTTTTGTTTGTTGCATATCGTAACACACACATATATATATAAATCCCTTATATTAAGAGATTCCTCCAAGTAACTTTATTTGAATGAAGCTCTTTAGGGTACTTTACGATTTTTTTTTTCTAACGATTCAAACCATCTATTTTTTAAGTCTTCATTCATAGATCATCTTTGAAAAAATTAGACAAATTGGAAACTGTTTAAACATCTAATTGTGTCCTACAAAAATCAATGAACACGGTGCTTCAATAAAGTACTAAAATTTCAGTAATTTAATTGAGTGGTCAAATGATATCGGATTCAAGTGATTTTTTGCAGAGATGGTCTTCGAATGAATATCTACCAAATAGATTATTTGGATTAATGATATACAATGTATGGTAGGCCTTACAATGATGTCTCTCAAATAAGCGTATTTAAGGGATCTCTCAAAATATATATATATATATGGTCAAAAATGGCATCTTGTTTGTTTCCAATAATTCATAATGCTCTTCAAAGGGATGAAAATATATGTTGATGCACAAATATATCTCTTTTTAAGACGCTGATACCGACAATAGGGTCGAATTAATTTGGTGAAGTTTAAAATTTGGACCCTCAGTCTTCTAATATGGTGTCTCTGACCTGACCGATTCTAATTATTAGAAATTATCGAAACGAACAAAAAAACACCTCGACAGTTGAAATTGCGTATAAATAGGTACAGCCACAAAGAGGGAAACATATCAAGAAAGAAAAAGAAATGAGTTGGTTATTAGGAGACTCGATGTTCACTGTTTCAAGCTCTGTGTGTGTGTTCCTTGTAATTCTCTTAGCTCTCATCAGGATCTTTCGCAAAGTATGGTGGGTTCCAAATCGCATACAGAAATTCATGGGTCTGCAAGGAATACATGGCCCTGCTTACAGACTTGTCCATGGAAGCACCAAAGAAATGATGAGCATGAAAAAGGAAGCTATGAGCAGGCCAAGAAACATGTCACATGACATATTCCCTACAGTTCAACCTCATACTCACCAATGGACCAAAATATATGGTACGTAGAAACTCTTCATTAATTAACTTTGGTTTTTATAAACCTTTAATTAGTTCAAAGATAAATTTTAGTCTTTTTGTTGCAACAGGGAAGAATTTTCTTCAATGGCAAGGTACTCAACCTCAGTTGCTCATTGCGGAACCTGAGTTGAGCAAAGAGATACTAAACAACAAAGATAGGCTCTTTCGAAAACAGAAGTCCCAAGGCTATGTGAAGAAGCTATTTGGAGAAAGCATTTCCATGGCAGAAGGTGAAAAATGGGTCAAGTTAAGAAAGCTGGCCAACCATGCCTTCCATGGAGAGAGCTTAAAAGTAAGCTATTTTTACTATATATAAAAAAAAAAATAGTTTGAAGGGGAAAAGTTAAATTTTCTATCGTGTAAATTTGGTTATTGACCGCATGATGTTGTTGTGTTAATAGGGTATGGTTCCTGATATGATAACTAGCACTGAGACAATGCTACAAAGGTGGAAAAATCATGAAGGCAAGGAGATCGAGGTCTTTGAAGAATTTAGGTTGTTGACTTCAGAAGTGATTTCTAGGTCAGCATTTGGCAGCAGCTACTTAGAAGGGAAGAGAATTTTTGATATGTTGATGGAGTTGACCTCCGTTATTTTCCAAAATGCTCTCAGGCCCAGGTTTCCTGGCATCAGGTAGCTTCTTTTACCTAAAATGATACCAAAAGAATCCACCATGTTTCTTTTAGCTATTGAAATTTACACTTGTGAGCAGCAGAGAAGTATTCACAACAAATTTACACTTCTCATGTTTAGTCTATCATTCAAATTTGCAGTATGTTTTACAAAACCAATGCTGAGATCAGAGCGGACAAGCTTGAGAAGGGAATACGAGACACCATAGCCGAGATTGTTAAGAAAAGAGAAAACAAGGCCATGACTGGAGAAGCAGACGAGTTTGGGAGTGATTTTCTTGGAGTACTTTTGAAGGCTCATCATGATACCAATGAAAACCAGAGGATTTCGTTCGATGACATTGTTGATGAGTGCAAGACGTTTTACTTTGCTGGACAAGAAACCACTAATGCTCTGCTTGCTTGGACTGTCTTTCTCCTGGCACTCCATCCGGATTGGCAAGAGGAAGCAAGAAAGGAAGTCCTACAATTATTTGGTCGACAAACTCCAACTCTTGATGGCATTTCCAAACTGAAAACGGTAAGAAAGTTAACCAGTTGATTGCTAGCTTATCTAATTACAGGCAGAATCATTGTTCTCAATTAAGTTTTGAAATCCTGATTTTGTTCATTGTCTAATGCAGATGAGTATGATCATCAACGAGTCTCTAAGGTTATATCCTCCGGTTGTTTCCCTAAATAGGCAAGTTGAAAAGGATGTTAAGCTGGGAGGGCTCATTATTCCGGCTAAGGCTGAATTGCACGTCCCGAATCTTGCATTTCATCATGATCCTAAATTCTGGGGAAAAGACGTGAACCTTTTCAAACCAGAGAGATTCTCAGAAGGGGTTGCTAAAGCTACTAAAAATAACACGGTCGCCTTCTTACCCTTTGGATTGGGACCTCGAACTTGTGTGGGCATGAACTTCGCAAACGCAGAAGTAAAGATTGCTCTGGCAATGATTCTACAGCGCTACAGCTTCACCCTTTCCCCTGGTTATGTCCACTCACCAATTCAGTATATGACAGTTCGGCCACATCGTGGAGTTCAAGTCATACTGCACTCACTGTGAAACGTGAAGACCAAAATTCATTAATTTCAATAAATGTTGCACTTAATTTCTCCCCTTCCCTCCCCCTGGTTATGGTAGCTTTTTTATTTTTCAGCAAAGACGAAATAATAAATGGAATGATTTCTTCTTCTTTTTTGGGGTAAATCTCACTTTATTATTCTGGAGTTTACCGACCTTCAGACTTCACTACACGAAGTTTCTTTATATAAGCAACAGTTTAAATTAGGGGTGGGCTCGGTGTGGTTTGTTTTGGTGTTGAGCCAAAACTGTACGCCGAACCGAGAGCCTCAGTGGAGGAAAACACAGCACCGACACCAAACCAAAGCACCAGAAAATTGGTGTTGTCAGCAAACCGAACAAACGGTTTGGTTCAAGGTCGGTTTCGTTATCGCGCCGAACAAAGTCGCTTCCACAGCCTCAGATCTGTGTGCGGCTGCGATGGAGGTGAAGGGGAGGAGTCAAGGCAGAGATGAAGTCGAATGAGACAATGTAAAACAGTGAGAGGAGAGAAGATACAAGGAAAGAGATTCAACCTAAACACAACCTAAACTACTCTAAATTAATATAATCTACGGGAATCCTGACAAAATTATATATATATATACATGAGATTCAAATTTAAGTGCAAAAGGACAAACTCCCTCCCTGACCAACTAGCCTAGCTCATGTATGCATCTTTTATTTTCTTTATATTCGCTTTAATAAGGATCAAAATGTTAAGTTCGATGACAAAAAATGGGAGGGGATGTCTTCAGGAGATTGGGGGTTTGCTACAGAGAACCCCCCCTATTTTTTAGCCTCCTATAGGAAAACAAGGAAAGCATTACCACAAGGATTGGCCTGAGAAAGCGGAGAGCCTTAAATTAGTCACCCAGAAAAATCTGTGGGGCAAATGGCAGTACAAGGCCAAACAAAATAAGCAAGTTAGCATTTGTACATTTGAAACAATAATTTCCTTTGCTAACTACGAGAGACTACAACTGATTTACAATATAGATTTGTCACCTGCTAAAATCAGGTTGAAAAAATGCCAATGGATCCAATGACGAATCTGAAGCTATGAGGCAAATGCATCTGCCGCCAGAAAAAGGGAAAAAAAATACCTAATCTATTGCAATCGGAAAATCGATCAATTGTGAAACAAAATTCAAACTATGTGTTCAACAACATGAAGTTAATAAAAGTTTTTCCTTCATGCGAGATATAAGCTTAAATTTTTCCTCCGCTTCAACCTGTTGGCGTACGTCAGTTCTTGATGCCCGGTCTG